AGTTCCAGGGGGGAGAGCTCAGACCTCACACACACATCTACAGAATAAGGCTAAAAAATGATGGAGCGCAGCTACAGGCACCTTCTTTGCAAACACAACCAGGGAAAGATGAGAAGCAGCATTTCCTTCTAACTTTCCAGTTGAAGCATTTGCCCAGACATTCATCCGGAGAGCATTCAGGCCCTGTCACATCTTTGGACAGAAAGCAATTAGAAAAGGAACTTTTTCCCTCCTCAACAAAGCTGTCTCACCAGCAAAGATGCTGCTCTAGGAATAAAGACGAACACAGGCCTCCTAACTCTCATTTCTAGGCAGTAGGCTGCAACAGTGAGCATCTCTCTCTCCTCACAGATCTCTTAGGAAGCCAAGCACAGAGCCCAGGCTCTACTTTGCAAGACAGCACAGTCAACAGTTCAGTAGCACAGTGCCTTTGAGAAGTTTTAATACAGCTCAAATCCTAAGTAGTTTCCAGTCTTGTTGAAACATGGCAGTACGAGCTTCAATACAAACCTAGGAAGTGTGTTTCATTGCTTAGCTGGGATCTCACATGTTTTTTTTTTTTTTTTAAATCATTGTTAGACACATCACAGCTCTGCAAAACAACACTGAGATTGCATTTGATTCCAACAGCCCTTCCAGAGTCCCGTGATGACAAGGAAAAACAGAATTTCATAATACCTTTAATGAAAGCACCACTTCCAAAAATTCCTGTTCAGAAGGAAGTGGGGGTAGGGCAAGAGAGCTGACACAAGCATTGAACAAAATCCACACACATTAATTCAGTCATGGATTTCGTTCAATTGTCAAATCTTTCAGATGGAAAATGATCCTTTAGGAAGCAGGACAAGTGATGATTTCTTTATTATTTCTTCACTGTCACTCCATACAAAATATCAAACAATTACAACAAAAAAAGCTGAAGAACATTTAGTCCTCAGCTGACCTGAAACTTGCGCACAAACACAATAGGCATTAATTTCACCACCCTGACAGCAACTGGGATAAGATGCAGAGAGTCATAGAGAGATGACACCATTCATCATGCTGAATTACTCGTCCTTTCAGCCCTTCAAACATCCTAACCAAAGGCATATTCTCAGTTATTTCAGTTTTCAGATTCCATGCTAAGATGTGATTGTTTATTGTCTGTGCTGTCTGAATGGAGAAATCTGAACTACGCTAAAGCAGTGAAGACAAAAGCAGTCAATCACACTATTCACACGCTACAGGATGACTTGGAAACTTGGGGCCAAACCTACAGCTAGCACAAGCAAATGCAAGTTCTCCAAAGCACAGGAACTGCACCTGTTTGCATCAATGACTGCTTTGTCACATTGCGGATCAAATCAACACTCTTTACTCTAAGACTTTCTACTCACTTGACACTGAGTTCAAGCATTTCATATATATTCTTCCTAGAAAAGTGTATAGTAGCACCTTCTGCAGCTTCCAGCAGGACAGGTGAGATTCAACATAACTGCTCCCTGCTCCACTTTTCAATACATCATCTTTACAGTTTTGCTTTGCTATGACATTATAATCCTGGAGACTGAAGAGTACTGTCACAATGCCACGCACCAATTAATTTCATATATTTATAGCTCCTTAATAAAATTCATGGATATTTGCCAAGCTGCAATTGCACCAACAAATCTACAGAATAGAGTAGGATTTCTCATTTTATAGTCGTAACTTTTTTTTGTCTAGTTTATCTAATTTATAGGGCTGGCAGGTCCTATAGGAATCTAAATACCGATTCTTCAACTCTCTAAAGCCAAATCTTGGATGATGTCCTTGCAATATAACTGTTTTCATTAATGCACTTATAGAATTCTAATATTACTGGAAAATATATGCCAACCCTCTCTTAGCTCAAGTTCTACTTAGGTTTTGCAAAACAAATCCTTTTGGTGGAAAAAAATTAGCAGAGCTAACTAAAAATTTAAGACAGGAAAGTATAGTATAAGAAAATTTTAAAAAATACAAACAAAAACACAACTTTTACTTATTTCATATGCCATTATTTACAATGTAAATACTCAGGACTAGTCCACAATTATAACTCTGTATTTATTTTAGATCTCAGGTTAATTACTTAAGAGAATGGGAAATTGTTACTCTTTCAAGGCTTCCTGTCCTGCAGCTCAGAGCATCACCCTATCTAGCTACATTTCACAACTGAAGTGTTTGCTATGAAGATGAGAAGTCTTCCTAACAACAACTGGAATTTCTGGTTTAATAAACTTAGCTAAAAACACCCAAGTCATAGAGAAAAAAAGAACAAAGTACTCATGCACACGGTTGTGATGGAAAGACCTTATGGGCTAAAAGCTGTTGGTGCACAGAAACTTTGTTTCCTAATAAATAAGATTAAAAAAAATATCAAGATATGCAGCTCTTTCATCCAGCATAAAAGCAATTCATGTTCAAGATTCAAACCAACTTTTAGCCTATTAGCACTCCACTGCTACTGAATATGGAAGCTTCAACAAAGCAAATAATGGAAAACAAGACATCTCAAATATTCCTAACAGGAATAGGAGTGCTACAGTACTGAAAAATTACAAATGCATAAGAAGCCAAAGAATGCTAAGCAGAACATTATATTGAGACTTTTTTTTTTTGTTTTGGGTAAGACTGTGAAAGTGCTAAGAAAATGTCACTTCAGGCACCTGTGTCATTCTATTGTGTAGTCTCACCGAAGTCACTATTTTACAATACTCTCATGGGGGAAGTTCTTGGCTTCCCACTGATCTAGTCACAAAAGTTATCCCAATAAATTTCAATTGACTGAAAAAAATTAACACACCTCAAAAACAATGCTGAATTCGTCCTTCCAGAGACTATGATGATTTAATCCTGGTAAAACATTACAGCTGTTTTTATGAAGGTACATAAGATAATATTCTTATGTTTTTGAGGAGAGATTGCATTTAACGATGCTACACGTCTGCATCCAATTAAATGCCTTAAAGCAGCTCTTAGGTTACTATCCCAACCTCAGATACTCAGGCACACACTTAACCTTCCACTGTGAGTTTCAAGTTAAAGAAATTCAGCTTTTGCATGAGCAGGTCTGAAAGGACACCCTCTTTCTCTTCCTTAAGCAAATGGGCGATACTCCCAATGAAATGAAACAACTCTTAAGGATTCTCCCTCTTACCTCTCCATAAACATATCGTGTTTTCCATGTTTTTATTTAGCTCTGAGTCTCAGTTACTGTCTTAACTGATGACATACGCCAAGCTGGTTTTGTTGGCCCTGCTCTGTTTTCAGCACTGCCTGTACCATTTTATCTCCCCCAAGATCATCTGCTATTCACTGACAAAGCACCTCTACTTTCACACTGCTCTAACTGATCACCTGTACCAGACCCTCCTTTCTTTTTGCATGAACCAAGTTTTACCCGTGTAACCAAAGAAAACAAAGATGGACAGACAACGGAGGCCTTTTTGTCTATTGTGATTATCATGGTCCTTTCTGTACTTTAACATGACAGGCATCTTTTATCAAAAGTTCTAAGTTGCTGCTACTGTGTGCACATTCTTTGTAGAAAACCTGAATAATTTTCCTGTTACAGTTTATAACTTGATTTTCTGCTCCCTCATCTTTCAAGAGGTTGAAATTAGACTACTATACTGGTACTTTCAGCAGCTAATAACTGATGTGCATTACTACACATCAAAATGCCTGCAATAAAGATAGAAAATCAGGGAGACAAAACACCAAGTACTTCACCTGTGAATTACTGTTTTTTTTTTTTTTTTTTAAATCACAAGTTAACTAATTTGGACAAGATGAAAGGGTGAAATGTCATGAGCTACAAGCTGAGTCAATCAATAACTAATGAAGGCTAAGAGAAGACTTCAGTTTCCTTTTGTACTCTTTCCATTCAACCTGATGTCAAAGTGTGCCATTCTGCACTCTCTCTCTCTCCAGCTGGCTTTGTGGGTTTCCATGAGAGCTGTTATTAAGCGAGGCCTACAGCTGCAGCTCAGGAGCAGAAATTAGCAGAGGCCTAGCCTGATTTTGAAATAAACATATAATAAAGCAGAAGATGAATAATTAAGCTGCAAATATCAGGGACCTATTTACACCAGCTCTGTAACTTGCCAATCAACACGGAAGCACTTGTTATTCTTTATTTCCAAGAAGCTGACACTAATTTCAAATAGATTTCAATATACTCAGCCAGACTGAGGCTCAGGAAACACCCTTTTCACATCATTTGCTTAACAGTTCTTCGAGTACTGAATTAGAAGTCTCCTTATTTGCTTTACAAATTTTAAACAAATATATAGTTCTTACAACCATTTAACACGTGATGAGAAAATGGTGAAGCGCATTATTATTACTGCGCCCAAACTCCCTGGTAAGGCAGGACAGACCGCCAGCTCTGCCTTCTTAACCTGAACCTTCTTGCTCCGCTTTCTCAGGTACTGAATAACCACAGTCCGTGGCTGATCCAAAAGCAAAGGCCCAAACCCGACAGCAGGTAAACTGTGACAGAAGTGGGAAGGTGTAGCAATGTAATGTAGATGTACGAAGTGCAGTTGCAGTCAGCTACATTTTTATCCACTACCAACGCAGCACCGTGGATGCGCAAAGCAGGCCGCATGGTTCAAGCGTGCGAGTAGGCTGCCAGCCGAGCACTGACAGCGCATGACTGGCGTCACGTTCCTTCAGCTTCCAACCTGCAAAACGAACACATCACCGAGACTCCGCGAAAAGCATCACTCGGGGAGAGACGGGACACGGGCACGACTCTTCCTGGCGCACCCACAGCGCATCCACTCTGCCCTCCGAGCGTCAGCGTGGGCAGGGAAAGGCCGGAGCCCGCACCTGCACGCGGCAGCAGCCCGCTTCCTCCCCACGGCGGGTGCAGCTCCGGGGGCGGGGGCAGCCCGGGGGCGCCCGGGGAACGGGGCGGGCTCAGCGCTGCCTCCCGCCGCTCCCCACCGGCCGCCGCGGAGAAGCCCCGCGCCGCGCCACCGGCTCACCTGCACGCCCGCGTAGTTCTCGAAGAAGAAGAGCACCATGCTCTGGTAGATGGTGTAGAGGCGGTCGTCCACCTCGCGGTAGAAGCGGGCGGGGAGGACGGCGGAGAGCAGGCGCCAGGCGCCCCAGGCCAGCACGTAGGTGGGCGCCGTGCCCATCATGACGGCGGCGGGCAGGAAGTAACGCATGGAGTATGTGTGCAGCACCAACGACAGCAGCATCTTCCCGCTCGCTCCCGGCCTCACCGGGACACCCACATGGGCAGCGCGCTCAGACACGGCCCGCCGGCCCCATCGCCAACGCGCCGGGCAGAGCAGAGCCGCCGGGCGGGGTGGGTGGGTGAGGGGGGGGGGAGAAGCAGCAGTAGCGGCCGCCCCCAGCAGGGAGGCGCGGAGCGGGCACCGGCTCACGGCTCCCCGAACGCCGCCTCCGCCACCATATTGCCCGGCCGGGGGAGGAGCCGCGCCGGCAGGAAGGCGGCCCCTCGCCGCCTGCGGGGAACTTCCGGGCCGGGCGGGCGCGGGGTGGCTGTGAGCGGGTGCTGAGGGCGTCTCGCAGCCCCGACCGCGAGTCTCTGAGGTGGCTTGCGGCAGCCCTGGCCGAGGGAGCCGTGCTGGAGGCGTGTCCGGTGGTCAGCGAGGCGCTCCATCACCTGCAAGGAGCGTACATTTAAACGCGGCGTGGTGTAATTGAAGCCAACTTGGTTTTTTCACCCTCTCGGTTTCTGCTAGTGCAGCACTAAGAACAGGCGATGTGTCGCTTCCACCAGCTGCCAGCACACTGGCAGCCCTTGCGCATCTCCTCTGCCCTCACGTTGCAGCTCGGGCCCGCAGTAGTCCTGTAGCAAAAGCCCCAAAAATGCAAAAATGCAGTAGTCCTGTAGAAAGCCGCTGTGTCTTCACCGAGAGGAAATTTAGTGTGACACCTGAGTACATAGAGAAGAACTTATTCCTTGTTTTGTACAAAAACCCTACCCTGAAGCTTGCAAAGATATCGTTTTAAAAAGAAGTGTATGCTCGGTGCCTTGTGTAAAGATTGTGTTCATTTTGCCAGACTGTAACTGGGGTGGGCCCCTGTTGTCCTTAGCTGCTGTTTATCTTGTGCTGTTTTTTATTGAAAGTTCTCTGCGGTGAGATCTCTCATTTGCCATGCTCCATAGTTCTTGTATTTCTAACAAAGCACTTTTTTCCCTGCTCTAAAAGGAGGTGATGGCAGACTTTCTGCCAGTCCACATCAGTGTTTACATTTCTGTCCCCACTGAGTGAGTGAAAACACCACCTTGGCTCAGGACTACCAGGAGAGGCACTTTCCCCATCATGGCGTCTTTTGGCAGGCACTTATCAGCTGTAGTCCAGGCAATTCTAGACTGGCTAGATGGAAAATTGAGGAAGGAGCTCCTGTTTTGTGCTGCCTGCAGCATGGCCACGTGAAAGAGAAAGCAATTCACTGCAATGTAGGATGGAGAAAGTAGTCCAAGTCAGTACAGAGCAGGTAAAGCTAAGGCCAGGAAGATGCAATGAGGTATATATGAAGAAGTACTCTTGTGCAGCTGTAATGGTGGGACAGGCTTGGAAGGATCCAGACGCTGCTTCACAAAGGAGACTGCAGAGAGACTAGGCTTCAGGGCAGCTAGGTGTGCTTGGCTAATTACACTGCAGTTAAAAGAGAAAATGTAGATCAGCAGTTTGTTAAATAGACTGTGAGTCTGGAATTGGGAAATGGCAGAGGGGTTGGGAAAATATGGGGAAATTCAGCTGGCTGAACTTAAAGGCAGAGGTGAGCTTGTGAGATGGGATTGAAGTCTCAAGTGAACAGACTGAAAATCTGTGTTATAGTGAAGAGAATGTGAAAGGAGTAAAAGCATTTGTGTGAAGGAATGAACTTGTGACATCTGATTCTGTATATGTACAATCGTATATTTCCTTACAGGACTACTGTGGAGATAAGTTCACTCATACTTGTGAAAAACTGCAATATTATTAAAAAAATCTGCAGAAATGAACAATTCTGTCACTGGGGGATTGTTTGACTGTCATGTAAGATGAGATAAGAACTGAAGGCACGCATTGATCAAAATGGGAGATAAAATACCAAGCTCATCCAGCAATAATGCACATTCTGTGCACTGAATGCATTAGAAGTCTAGTAGGAACGCGGTACCAGATTCCTTAGAACTCAAACAAGCAGTTTTAATCTGTCATTTGCTGATATAGTTAAGTGCATGACTTTGCAACCTTAATAATATTCTTTCAGTTTAGGATTTTAGAGGCCCTCTTGTATGTGTGTTTATATACATGGCTAGTCTATATTCTTATCTTGAATCTGACTTAGTCCAATGATAAAACTGAGCATCAATATCCATTTAATTCATTATATATTAAAAGACACATTCTTTACCAGCTTTAGAGTGGTTGCCCCTTGGTTCCTTTGAATGTTGTTTCTTTTGTATTACCAGTGAGCAAATAAGACTGCCTGATTTTTCTTTGCTGCATTTTACATTCTGCATGTTTATAACATACCCCCTCCTTCTTTTTCTTTTTCTTTTTTTGATTTATTTTTTCATGTGACACTTCTTCATTTTCTTAATCTGCCATCATCCCACACCAAGCAGACATGCACAAGCAGATGCACAATTCATTTCTGCTTTTGGTCATTTGTTATTTTTAAGAGGTTATTTTAACACAATTTCATTATTAAGTCTATATTATCAAATGTGTAGGTACAGGGCACTGTTTTAACTTCTAGTCACATGGAAGGTATGCAGTCCCTTGCACTAAGGCTTAGCACTTATTTTTTATTTCCTAGTATAGTTATATCAATATGATACCATACTATGGTGTTGAAATGTCTATAACTGAATGAAACCCTAACTTTTCAGTTCAAGAAACGGATATGCCACAATAATTAGATGTGAGATGTTGCCTTCTTTCTTGCTTCTCTTAATTCATAGGCACTTTTTATCCTACATCATTCTGAATTGAACCATGGGAGTTTGAATATTGGTCTATTCTAGACTATGGGAACATTCTAGACTATGGGAACAAAATCTGAAAAATGCTCTGACCCTCTCTACAATTTTCAAGTTTTACTCCTCTGAAAGCATAAGCCTTAATTACACCTCCCTGAACTGTAATGGCAATCTACCAGGTGACTTAATTCCTAGGCATTTTGCTTTCAGCATAATAGGGCTCTTTTTCTGTTAAGGTATTTCATTTTCTTCTCTACCACAATATTGAAATATGAATAAACAAGACTGTAATTTTGGAAACAGGTATGCATCTGCCATACCCAAGGATCTGAATCTGTTTGGTGTGAATTTAATTTGGCGTGAACCTAACAATAGGTTCTTCTGTCAGTGGTTGCTACCTCTAAATTGTCCAAACTCACAAATCTCTGGAAAAATATCAGAATTTCATTTTAGTAAAAAGTGCCTGAAACTGTGCCTTGAGAAGGAACCATAAATTGTGCCTCTAAGTACTGACTCAGAGTGCTAAGGGATTTTCTCATGCTGCTAGTCCCATGATGGTGTTTCACAATTCTGTCACCCACTCATTCTAATTATCAATTAGACAGAGCAAAGCCAGATAGCATTAGATACACATCAAACTGCCTTGAGGTTTATAATTTATCCTTTGTAGATGGTATTATCTTCAACAATATCCTGTGAGATGATCTGTTGGTTTTACTTCCATTTATATATTGGGAAATGAGACAGATATTAAGGCCAAAGGAGGCCTTTGATCAAAATAAAGTTTTAAGCATCTTAATTCAATTCCTGGAATCCAAGACATACTTAGGTTTTCTATGAAGTGCATGTCATGTAGGGAACTAAATAGAAATTAAAAATAAAACCCACAGCAATCAACAGTCTGAGCAGGAAGTTGATTAAAATTAGTGGGCTCAACGAGTATTTGTATAAAGTCAGATAAAAATAAAGAAAAGGCTGAGGACAGTGTTGTGTCTGAACAACTGCCTCTCAGGATCTCATTATGAATTTCAGAAATGTGTCTGTCAGCTTGAGCTCCACAACCCAAAGATGTCTCTCTTGGTAATACTCTTGCTTTTCTAAGCGTGGCCGAGAAAGAAACCAATATCACCTATTTTATCAACTTGCATGGGTATACAACTAGTTCAGACATGGATTCAGTTTGTTGAGGCTGTCAGATTTGTACCTCCCATCACCTAGGAGAGTAATAGCAATGCACAGTAATGAACACCTTTCATTACTATTGTAATATTATCTTGCAGGTCTCCTGCACCACGTGACTCCTTGGCTGCCCCTCAGAGAGAACACAAGGAGGCTGTACAACAAAAACACACCTACATGACTGTGTTCTGTTTGTTCCATTCCTCACTCTCATGAGCTGCTCAGAGACTATGTCCTTTACCACCAGAAAATTATGAGGAGCCCAGGAGAGCAAACTTATGTCTTGAGCTAACTGTCCTACAGCAAGATTTGCTGTCTTATGCCCCTGGATGGCAATGGACATGGTTGCATTCACAGTGTGATTTACACATTCTTCTGCATCGTGCCTTTACTATTGAAAGGAAAACTTGGGTTGAGATGTACATTAATTGAGGCAGGTTTCAGTCCTTCTCTGCCTCCTGTAAAACGTTTTCTTGCCTGGCTATAGTTTTCCCACCTACAATTGAATAAGAACTGCATATACATGCAGATGGAATAAGGAGAGGGTAAGCCTCTCCCATGCTCTTCCAGCCTTCTCCATGTCCATCCCATTTGTATTTTAGTGGCTAAAGCCAGGTTTGACTTCTACATACACATCAGTAATCACCAGCAGATTTATCTTACACATACCTGTCCATTCTTCTCTTTGTTCATATAGTCTTTTAGCCTGCACAATATCCTGTAGCAAGCAGTAAAATCACCTTTCTTTTTTTTAAAATTTGTTCATTTTAGTTACATTTTATTTACCTTAGAGCTTGTATTGAAAAAGATGGAAAATCCCTTTCCACTCTTTTGTCTGTGCCACTCATGATTTTTTGTCATTTCTGTAATATTCACTCTAGACTATTTTTCATACTTAATTTTACTGAGCTTTGTTCCATATATACTATATTCTCTATCATGAAGGAATAGTCAGCTTTAGTCATGGCATTTGCTTACTTCTCAGGTTTCACTTTTTGCAAATTGTTCTTCTTTTACAAAAAATATGTACTGAAAATTCATGTGAGATATTTTGTTCACTATCGTAGGATTTATCCATAATTAAACCAAACTAGTATAAGAAGAGAAACAGACTTTGCCAATGATTCTAAAACATATTTGATGACCCTGAGAAACTGTGATTCTCCAGATTCTTAAGAGAGATTGCAAAGGAATGTTTTATGAACACAATCTTTTCCACCTAATTTGGATCCATAGCACCTTTCATCAGCCTCCAAATTTTCTCCTTTCATAGAGGAGGAATCCTTACCACGTTTTCAGCCTTTGCCCTTCAGACTCCCAGTCTCACTTCCAAACTGCATTCTTTGTTCTTAGTGCTGCTCTGTTTCTACATGCTGCTTTCCAATCTCCTTCCCAGGCAAACCTAGCTGCTTCTATTCCCATTACTCCTGTGCATCCCAGTCACATTTCTTACACAGTGTCAGTCTCTTTTTTTCCTAGTGAATCCTAGTTAGCTCCCCTAGGAGCCTAATCCTGTTATCCCCTCCTCTCTGTGCCAAAGTCTTGTTGTTCAAGCATTTTTAATTTTTACTTCCTGCCTTCTTGGTCACAGACCAGCCCTTCTCAAACAATTCTCAATACAGTTTCATCCTCAACTAACAGATCTAGTTATGTCTTTTCCTATTCCTTTGGTCAAGTTTCCACTCTCTTTGAACCTAACTTGAGTGGCCTCTTTCTCTGTGGCACTCAGGTAGGCATGGAGAACACTGGGAGAACAGCAGGAATAAAGTACCGTGGCTCAGCCTGTTTGCTTGCCTCCAGTTTAGCCAAATTTGAGCAGATTTTCACAGTAGTAGCAGAAGTTGCATCCACTGCACCAATGCTTCCTGCTATATTATCAATTTTCAAATTCCTGTTTAAAGAACAGAAGTCGTAGAAAAGAAAAAGGTTACCAGGATTCTAATACCAGCACAATAACATATTTTTGCTAGCTGCATTCCCTAGAACTCACTCCAGGAAACTTCAACCCCAAGTTTTAGATAAGCAAAGATAAAACAGAAAAGAAAGAGCCAAACTTTTGAAATCAAAGAACATTAGTAAAACATGTACTGACTATAATATCAGGTGATGTTACAGGGTTGGCTGTAGATAGGCTTGTGCTTTTGCTCGGAGTGGAAACCCAGCTGAAGGACAAAGTTAATCTTTGCTTACAGGTGTCTAAAAGACTTGGGTAATAAACAGTTTGGGAAAAGAGCTTATGTACTGTACCTGGTGCTCAGCAGGGCCAGAAAAGCCAGGTGAGTTGTATGTATGAGATTTTAGGGAAGCATTGGTTACCTTCTAGCTGAAGTTTTAGTTCTGTACTACCCATAACTACATACAAGGGCTTTTTTCATAACAAAACAGCTTTTTTGTACAGACAATATAGTTTTACTATAATCACAGCGCAGAGTAGTTTTGTGATAGGAATATACACCACTACTACAGTTAGCACAATTATGTAAGTAAGGTCATCCACCAGGACTGACCATATCTTGTCTGCGTACATTGTCCATGGAAGAAAGAGGTAGGCTTGCTACTAAAGCTTAGCAGCTTTGGAAACGTGGTCCTGGCTCAGATGCAGGCTTCCTGTTGTACAAGTTATTTTGGTTTCTATTTATAAAATGAAAGTAATACTTATATCACATGGTCACTGTAATGGCAAATTAATTAAGTTTAGAGGAAGGATACCCTTGCACTTAAGGGACTGCATGGAATCTAAGTTTACCTCCCAAGTTTGGACTTTCTATAGCACCTAGCATATCTTTGTGCCTCAGTCCCTCTGCTGTAGAGTAAGGACATTATTTCCTCCCCATACCCTTTAT